AGAGTATTAAGACTCATCCCATCTCCATAAATTTCTCTCTCACCGTCACTCAGGCCTCGTAATGGTATATTAGTGAGATAAACAGCGAGAGACCTCGTTATTTTGCTAAAAGTGATCGAGCTTCATTTTGGGAGAGAGCTTCTGAAAATGACTCTCCTCTTATGTGAGATCATTATAAGAGTTTTTCAGAGGATGTTATTTTTAAAAAATCACAATGGAATGTGAGTGAATACATATTCACTTGCTAATAATTTTTTTTAACATACCAGCCGTCTCTTACCGTGACCCGAAAAAAGAAAACACATTCACTGTCATTCATTCATTAGCTGCCTTGCCAGATGTGTGCAGATATTATGATTTAAATGACCCTCCGAACTGCAGCATCCACAACATCCTGTAATTTTTAATAACGCAAACAGATATAAGAATGAGCAAAATATATTTGCTATTCTCACTGTCAATGTGTACGTAATATTCATGATACATAAATGGTTTCAAGCCCACTGGTGTGCCCGGGCTGGGAGAAACATGGTTTGTAAATAAGACTGCCCAGCTTTTGAGGCATCTGTGGCCGAGTGATCTTGAGCGTCACTTAGGGAACCTTGCCACTCTCCATGAAGTGGTTTCGAAGCCTTCTAACTGCTATCTTTCTCTGCATATACTCCTTTCTGCGTGGTGCACTGATATAAATGACATTATTTTTTTTCAAAGTGATGAGCGAGTTAATTCTGCGTACTCTTTTATTCTGCAGAATGCAGGAGAATAGCCCCGTGGTAGGGAGTCTGACTCACAGCTGAAAGGAGCCGGGTTTAATGCCCAGCTACTTTCGGCTGTGACAAATCCAAGTTCCTTTACTCCTGCTGCCTCAGGGTTCACCTAGCAGAAGGTGATTAGTAGTATGTGTGTCGCATCATAGGCTGGACGAGACGTATTGCCCTTGTTCACCTGGCAGTATCTCACCTGGCAGTATCTCACCTGGCAATATCTCACCTGGCAATATCTCACCCGGCAATATCTCACCCGGCAATATCTCACCCGGCAATATCTCACCCAGCAATATCTCACCCAGCAATATCTCGCCCAGCAATATCTCACCCAGCAATATCTCGCCCAGCAATATCTCACCCAGCACTATCTCACCCAGCAATATCTCACCCAGCAATATCTCACCCAGCAATATCTCACCCAGCAATATCTCACCCAGCAATATCTCACCCAGCAATATCTCACCCAGCAATATCTCACCCAGCAATATCTCACCCAGCAATATCTCACCCAGCAATATCTCACCTAGCAATATCTCACCTAGCAATATCTTACCTAGCAATATCTCGCCTAGCAAGTATCTCATCTAGCCTGAGGTATAGTAAGAATACCAACACAGCTGTACTAGCTTAAAACACATTAAGTATACAATGGTAGTTGCATCTGAACAGCAAAAAAAAAAAAAAAAAGAAAAAATAAATTTACCGTGATTGCTGTACATGCAGCGTGAGGTACAATAAATATACCAGGACTTGCAGTACACATAGCGTGAGATTTAATAAATACACCATTACAGCTGTACACATAGTGAGGTACAAGGGATACACCACGACAGCTGTACACATAGCGTGAGATACAAGGGATACACCACGACAGCTATACACGTTATACAGTGACAATTCAGTATTCACTGTCCATCTCATTACCTAAAGTATTTAATTCCCGGCCTGCACGCACCACATTAATTCCACTGTAATATATACAGCTTTGTCGGCTGCAGATTTTAATACATCATACGTGAACAAATGAGAGTCTAATTTCCCATGTACATGCATGGGTCTTCCTGGGCATCAAATATGGCTGACATTAAGCATGCTGACTTTATATAAATCTGCATTATTGCACATTTCAAATTCGTAAATACGAAATCTAATTTCAAAATGAGTTTACTGTCGACACTAATTTCCAGAAAAAAGAAAAACGTTCACTCTAGTTATTAAATGGTGCCATTTTTTTTTTTTTTTTTTTTTTTACATTTTTTCTAGTTATTAGATGAATCCAGTTAATAATGACCTTCCAGTTTCGGTTAGTTTTATTTAATATTTACTGTAACTAGTTAATAACTCAGTCCAGTTATTTAATGAATTCAGCTGAAAATTGCCTTTGCCTTTTAACCGAACCCAACTATTAATTCCCTGAAATATTAATTGGAATTAATTCACTCCAATTATTAAGAGAAACCATCGATAATTCACTCAAACGAACCCAGTTAATAATTCACTAATAAATGAACCCAGTCAAAAATTCACTCTAATAAATGAACTCGGCTAATAATTCACACTAATAAACGAACCCAGTTGATAATTCACACTAATTATTAAACGAAACCAGCTAATAATTCTCTCCAATTATAACAAACTGGTTTCCTAAGCTTCTCATACAGCTCAGAATATGTATCACGATGGAGCTGCGGTTGTAGGAGGAAAATGTGGCGAAAAAAAAGTGAGAATGACGATCAAAGCAATAAGAAAGAAGCAAGAGCGACAGCGAGAAGGGGGATGGAAAACAAGATCGAGGGGGAGAGAGAAGTAAGAGAAGATAAAGAAAGTAGTGGTTCATACAAAGACAGAGAGAGAGAGAGAGACACACACACACACAACACACCACACACACACACACACCCCACACCACACACACAAATTATATATATATATATATATATTTATATATATATATATATAATATATATATATCTTTTATATATATAATATATATATATATAAAAAAATATA